ATTGGTTAGATTAACGTGTACAAGATGGTAGTCCCAATACCGTGATACGAGTTATTACACTACTATATCTCTTTTATATGTGACCGCTATACGAATGAAAATGAATTTCTAAAGAAATATCGTATTTAAAAAGACAGTATACTTTGGTAAAGTGAATTCTGATCAACAAAGATAAAAAACGACATTATATTTATGTCCGTCCGTGCACTGTTTTCTGTGGAGCAGGTGCCAACTAGAAATATGCTATCAATTTGTTCTCTGCCAGAACGAATTTACGAATTCGAGATTCGATCGTTAATATGTCTTTATGTTCATGTTTTCTTTTGTCTGTAAGCTATTGTTTTCTTTTAACAGCTATGATGACAAATACGTACCAAAAAATCCTCGTTCGATCTAGAAAGGAGTGGCAAAGACAGGTAGGATTTTTTTCTAAAGCGTTTCGAAGATTTGCCGGCAAAATGGCTGAAACATTTTGGTTTAGCTCTAAAATGAGGCATTCAAGACTTCGCATCGGACTTTACGAGGCTTTCTTTTATTTAAAGGGCGGTAGTCGGCGCGCTGCGCATGTGAAACATTTGTGTTGATAAACATTGAGTTTCCCGTGATCCAATGCGCTCTTCTAATTGAAATGAGAGGTACGAGGTTTGAACCGGTGACTTCTTCGATACCTTCCAATCACCTGAAAATACCTAAGTAAAGCTTGGTAACGTCTCAGTTTGTACTCGTTGATCTGCGCAACAGTCAAAGTCACCATCTTTGTTTATATGAGACCCATATACCTCGCGCATGCGTGATGCGACGACTACCGCCTATTAAACTAGCATCTAAAAAGTACGAAATGTTAATTTTATTAATTTAAATGATCATCTACATGTGGGATGTACGTCTCGCTAGCCACGAGGAATTAGATGGCGCCTCAGTACTCAGTCTGGTCCGGCCAATTGTCACTGGGTGGTTCTATTCTACGATAAACAATGACACAAATGACAGCGTGTAGAAAAATACTGAATCGGCGTGGGACCTCAGTATCTACAGCTTCCCAGCTATTTTCGACAGAGAAGCGATGAAACAGACGGAGGAAGCCAGAGTATGATCCAGTGGTTCTCGAAATGTATAGCTTTTCTCCGATTTGCATTGCCACGCTTCACCGGTACCATTCAAACTAATTCGACATGATATCAACTATTGGATTTTTGTAACTAGAGTCGACGTCATTAAAACACTTATACCCATCAAATAAATGCGCTAAATTACGTCTGTTCATCAATCTTTAGTGGGCTAAGATCGTAGTGGTAATGGAACGTTCCTGTACAAAACAACACCTACAGAAGTACCAACAACTGTACTCCATTGATGCACCGAAACCCAAATCCATGGCAAAGAAGATATCGGAAAGTACAGCAACTATGACCCATAGTTCCAACAGAAACATGTACGTGAATATTACGTTTTACACACATTTAATTGAAAATCAAGATTCTCGTTCCAGTCACGTTGAGTTTTGTGCATATGTGTATCTATGTGTGCCGTTTCCATGGGAACGTGTGTTTGAGGCGTAATGGTTTTCCAACTATTTTATTTAACCGTTCCATATTTGTTCCGCAGAGGATCCATGACTTCGTTTGGTGATGCGTCAAGTTACGTTTCGACGATACACGCCGATGGGCAGGAGGAAGACGAGATGTGCCCTGCTCTCATGATTGTCAAACCTATCACGAATGGTGTCGACATGAAGACGAACAAGAGCAAACTATTATTCAGAGGGCAAAGTGGTGATTCTGATGATGACGACGAGAGTCAGATGTCACTCAGAGATTGGAAGGTATGTATACAACCCGTTATCAATATCTCTGTCTCATGGCGTTGCTCTTCGCCGTGCGTGGAGTTTGTGACACTCACGGGGCCACGTGGCTCTTGGACAAGTTGACACATTCTAACGACCATGTATTGTCTATTATGCATAATCACAGGTCGTAAGTAGTAATGCCAGACAAAAACTCGCCATTCAGGGCACGAAGGGGTCGAAATCGAAACACAAAGCGTCAGAAAAACGGAAGAAATCCGCCAGTTTCCTAGTAGGCACCAAACCGAAGAGCAGCATATCAGTGGAGCCGTTAATATCGAACTTGGACGGTAGTCGACCAGTAAGTCGACATTCAGACAGTCGACCTACCAGTCTTAAGTCTGACGTTGGTACTAATACATCTGACGTATCAACTCCGAAGACGTAAAGCTCAATAGCAATAAGATTTGCACTTATTTAAAAAAAAAGGGAATTGTTGAAAAACTTCATAACATATATTTATCCCATAAATGCTAGACCATTAAGTGTACCGTCTTTTTTACTTTAAATATTATAAGAAAATGCCATCACGTGACATGAAAATATAATTAATATTTAATTCATTTACAAATGCTATCTAGGACGTTGGTGGCGCAATGTATATATTTTGTTTATATTAGATATGTTTATAATGTGTACATATGTATACTAGATTTGCGTGTAACAATTATGTATATAATATATAAATAATTTAAATTTGATTATCATTAATGGGCGAATAGTTATTAATCCGAACTATATGATTGAACGACATAGCATGACACGTGACTTTGATTAGAGTGCATACATTTACGACAAGCCTTACGACATGTTTCTCTACGGCAACATCTTGTACTGTCCCTTTTACTGCCGTTTTGTTATGATGATTGTGACTTGCAACGTTTCCATCCAGCACTACCCAGTCTACTCATGGCAGCATCACAAAGTTTATCCCAGCAGATTCACTGTTAATGTATTAGTCTGCCATTTCAAAGCCGATCAGTTTTTAGTAATATATCATTTAACAATTGAAGCTAGGTTATTTATTAAACACGTTTGGGATTCAAATATAACATTGATTTGAAAATAAAGGTAGCTTATTTTACTGAATTTTCGCCAGAATATTTCCAAATGAAGCGTAAGTACTACTTACCTTATCATACCATAAACATGAGAATCGTTTGTGATTTAACAGTACTGTTATATAATTTTTTATCATAAAAATTGAATTATCGCTGTATTATACCTACTAATCCATGACAGTTGCATTCCATGCGATAGAACTTACCAAGAACAGAAAACAACACATTTATTTTTAAGTCTCGTCATTAGTTACCCAAGAAGTGTATTTAAGAAACAGTTACACGCAGCAAACCGTAATACAGTTTATTTCGACAACTTTGAAAAGAAGTACAAGGAAAAGTAAACTTACGCATGTGTTCACTTCAAAGGTAAGCACACTGCCGCTACTTTACAGACCACAGTAGAAGTAGTAACCCTGCTCAGACAGAAGAACATGTGAACAGTATGCCTCCGCAGATCGTTACTCACGTTTGCAATTGAATAAATGGTTATTTCACCCGACCTCGTGTATTTTTTTTTGAGTTTGAGTTACCAGTGAATGCTTCTTAAAGACGTGTAAACAAAGTAAAATACCTATCACTTTCGATTATGCCCCGAAAATACCTATAATTTTTGTTTTATTTTTGAAATTTTTTATTGGAGAAACATTATGAAAGATACATTTCAGATGTTAGGTAATATGGAAATCGTTAAATGTTAATACATTACAGCTCTATTTGTCAAAAGGTCTGGATGCTTTACATGTAACAGTATAATTGACATATTACAGTAATAAGTGTATTCAGTTCGTTTCTTAAATACTTTGGACACTTGTTTTCAAGTAATTACCCCCATTTCTTTATATGACTATTTAATTTATTCCTTCTCGAAGCAATAAAATATTCGAATTGCTAATATGCTGTACATATTTAATGTATCCAATGAAATCAGGATTTTGTTTCTTTGTTCGAGAAATATAAATAAAACGTTTTGCAATTAGAATAAGTTAAATTAGTCAAGCAAGTTTTCTGTTCATCTCCAAGTATAATTTGTGCTGCATTGAGAGTAGTATGTAAATAAAGTTTCCTTCCCCATAACATAAAAAAAAACATTCTCAACATTCCTCAATATAACTACAATTACAAAAAGATGAATTAGTATTTCAGGTTCAGAATTACAGAATGTACATTTATCTGAATCAACTCTAGGGGGCGTCCATTTACACAACATTTGTTGGTAAATATTATGTAAAATCTTAAATTTGAAATTCGCTTAGTTTGTTGTCAACTGTAAGACGGAATCTATGTCTACATTCAGCAAGTTGACAACAACAATTTCTGATCTGGGAGTAATACAATTATAATCCACAATAGATTTGAACATATTTCTTGTATTACAATCATGAATATTAATGTTAGTGGTACTAATGTTGAAATGTACAACTTATTCTTCTGGAATGGTTGTATTTTGTTTCACCTCAACTAGTAGTACATGTATTAGACCAAACCATTGTAAAACATATCTACTTGAAGCAATTTCTTCTCTTTGTAATAGACGACCAGTTTCATGAAACAGTTGTCCAACAAATATTATGCTGTGATTAAACAATTCATGTAAGAATAAAGATCTACCCCTATAAGAATATTTCTATTATTCCATATGACGGGGTTAAGAGTAACAATGTTGCTATTTTCTATGAATGGATAAGACTTAAAGTATGACCATGTTGATAACATGCTTTTAAAGAAACCTGATACATTTATGTCAAGCAAAACAAAATTCACGCCACTATGTTTTCAGTATTATGTCAAAATTTATTTTCTATGCCTGATGGGGGTTTTCATTTCAGTAACGCCTTATCAAATGTATCCTCTGTGCTCTATAGATTGTAAAAATATCTGGCATAGTAAGTCATCCCTTTTCCATTTTACCATAGTTTTTCGGGCTATTTTATTAGGACCTTTCCAAAGAAAATTGTACAAGAGTTTATTATTATTTTTCAATAATTTTACAGGAATATTGGCATTACTATTTATATATTGAATTCTCGATATTCCCATTGATTTAATAATTTGAATTTTTCTAAGTAAAGTGAGATTTCTACTTTCCCAAAAACTGAGAGATTTCTCAAGACACTCAAGTGGGTTTGCAAAATTTAAATTCGCAGCAGTTCCATGATCATGGGACATGTATATGCTAACTATTTTAATTGGTTTGTTTGGCCAGGTAACATTTAGCGGAGTTAAATTGCTGTTTTCATGTTTCCCAACCACATGGCTTCACATTTAGTATGATTTACCTTCAGACCAGAGTCATTATTGATTTTTGTTAATAAATCAAATAAATGTTCAGCTGACTGTATATCATTCATAAAACAAGTGAGATCACCTGAAAATGAGGCATTCTTAATTTCAGTTACATCAACTTTTATACCAGCCATGTTGGATTCTGATCGCAGTGATATTAATAAGGTTTCAAGCACTAAAACAAATAACATAGGTGATATACAATCAACTTGCCTAACACCCCTAGAAATTACCTGAATATACCCCTTCATTCATTACACAACTACTTATGTATTTGTATAATGTTCTGATCAAAGTGTCACCAAAATTAAATGCTTTTAATGTTCAAATAAATAGATAATCCCATTCTACACAATCAAAGGCGTTTTCAAAATCGATAGTTAATAATAAACCTGGTAGATGCATCTCGTTGGTATAATTCATAATACCTTCTATTAATCTTACACCCCTAATGTGTCTATTTTTAACAAACGCTGACCGTGTGGATCAACGACGGAAGAAGATTTTTTTGGCCAGACATTGAACCAACGTGGTGAGTTACGGTTCAACCCCACAACAAAATGAAGCTGTTGTGGTGGCTACCTGCCAGCAGTGGCGTGAAAAGCTAAGATGACGATGATGATGATTTCATTCATATTTTATAGTCGGTATTTAAGAAGGAAATGGCTATCCATTTTTTTTATATGTCTTTGATCTTTTCCTCTCTTTTCAATTAACGTAATTACACTTTGTTTTTGTGAAGTTGATAATTCTTCTTCTCCAAAGGCTTTATTAAAAGATTTTACCAATTAGAGGCCAATGTTTATGAAAATCAAATGTTGGCTCATCGTTTCCGTGAGTTTTGTTACTAGGGAATTCCTTGAGAGCAGCATGAGCTACATCCAACGTTATCAGAGCACTAAACATGTTTTGTTGTTCATCTGTCAAAGTTGGAATGTTACTGTTATTAAGAAGTAATTCATTATGGGAAATCACGCTATCCTGCGAAGAGTATAAATCTTGATTAAAGTTTTTAAATTTCTTTATTAATTTCATCTTAATTTACAATTAGTTTGTCATCTTGATTAATTATTCTATTAAGTTGAGTGCGTTTGTAATTTTTTTTCTAACCGCAGAAAATAACGATTGCTTTTTTCACCTAATTCATACCAGTTATATGTTTGTCTAATTATTATACCTTTTGTTACATAATCAATGTCTTCCTGTAATGCTTCTTTCATTTTTTTTTATATTGTGGTATAAATTAGCTTTAAACTAAAAAAAAATATCTAAATTATCAGAGTTGTAATTGTTGCTTAAAAAGTCAAGGCACTGAGGGACAAAAGCATATTTTGATAGCGAGGAATTTTACCAAAAAAAAAAAAGACGAAATATGCGTGATGACGCATGAACTTTGAAAATAATGTAAAAGGAATAAAAATGTTTGTAGATAAAAACAGAGTCAAGAAGTTTTTACCGAGACTCATGTGTTGTTAGATTAAAATAATTGCATTAATGCAGCGTAATGATGCATACGAAATGGTAGTAGTATAGTAGAGTATAGTATGGTAGAATCGAAATTTAAAAACTTTCCTTCGGACCCATTCGATCTTCTTACCATGGTCAGATAGATTTGATGCGGGGACCAAATTTCAGAACAGTTGGCTTCTGACGACCGGCTGAAACAAACTAATTAGACAGGCATAACGGTTGAATTGTCTACATGTTCGTTTGATCAAGCCAAGCATCCACCTTCGATACAATCGCATTATTATGGGTGGCTGGATTTAATGTGGCTGTGAGAAATGACCCCGACTTTGTGAAATGATGGCGTTGATGGCGCCATGGAACAAATCAATATGCTCGTCAACATCAGAAGCGCCGAGCAGTTCAATGTTTAAATGAGTATTGAAGTCAAAATCTGTTACACTAAAAATGATCAATTTGGCGTCCAACGCCACCAGATTGGCGTATAATTCAAGGTTATGCGATAAATTACTGTTACTTCACTGCGCATTTGATTTACTGGTGGGCGGAAAAAATGGATGTTCATATGGAACACCTGTCGCTTAGCAACGCGTTTAAGTTTTGAAGCTGATAATTTGACGAAAGTAACATTAGGCGATAAACGCACGTGATATTGACAACCTAATGGTGTTATATTAATATGTGTAGTTATGTAATTTTTATTCTGGGAATTATTACTCTAAAAGCTCATACAATTGAGCACATAATTACGTGATCAGTACAATCTACAAGTTAATATGTTACAAAATTAAAGTCGTTGCTGGACAACCGATTTTTCCTTCCACAATCTTTAAAATTCGGGCGTTTCGTCAGTATATAAGACGATGTTTGTAAGCAACGTTTTAATTTTGAAGGCGGCAGCGGTATTATCCGAACGAGAATAAGTTTGTTGCAGGCATTTTGTCTTGATCAAAAATAATGTCTATCACCTCAGAAACACCCAAACTTCCCGATGACTTCGGTTTGGACATGGAGAACCGGGATCCTGAAAGTCTCAACGTGCACGTCAGGGTAAGTCTTGAACGGTCATCTAGATCATTTTGACCTGTAAATCAGTTTTATTGTATTCGTGTAATATTTGCCATCTAGATCTTTATATGTTCTTTGAAGGCCACAGTTTTACAAAAAAAAAAATCAAAAACTGACAATGTCGGATGCAATGGCCGTGAATGTGAATTGAAAATCCACGGGCAACGAATGGACGATGCCACTATCATAAGTTAATATGCAAACATCGGGCTCCGTATAAACGAGTTACCACTCTGGACCCCAGTCTTTGGCGGCGGCACCAGGGGGGGGGGGGTAGAGGGGCGGTCGCCATCCGTAAAAAAAAATGTCGGGGGGGGGGGGGTCGCCCCCAAATCAAGCTGAAATCCTTTGTTTCAGCAAAATTTGTCTCTCAAAATGCGGGAAATAGCGTTTCAGACAGTCTAGATTTCAGACTTCGGCCCCTCATGCAAAATTCCGTGCCGCCGCCTCTGTCATGGTCAGTGCGACATCTTTTGATAAGAACTATATACTAGTATATAGCTGCTAACCAAAATGTAATATGCAATAATATTGCAGTACTGTAATCATTAGTAGGATTTCATTTTCAAAATACTTACTTCAGTGTGCTTTTTGACGGCCAGCCAAATGCTCAGATATTCAAGGCAATATTTCGTGCAACTTTTCCGGCTTTCTGTGCAAGCTAACCAGAAATTATACGCTAAACGAAAATTTTCCATCATTCAAAGTTCCTGATCCGGGCATTTGGAAACAACGGAACCACAAAATGTATTGAATTTGGATGGAGGAATGGCAGCTTGATCTCCATTTTTTACGTATCAGATGAATATTATCTAAAATAATACCCTACAATGAACGTGCGATATAGTGTGCGTGCTTTTAATAGAATTCATCTAGATAAGGTGTTATAGTCCGGAAAAGCCCGAGAACGAAATTATGAATGACTTGTTTTAGGATAGGGACAGGTCAGTGGCGGCGACACCGTGGGGGCAGTGGGGGCGGACGCCCCACGAAAAATAGGTCGTGCCCACAATAAAATAAGGTGAAACACTCATCTATACTTGTAAGAGAAATATACCTATAGTGTACAATCAAAATTTGCTTCTAAAAATGCAGAAAACAGCGTTTCAAAGGGTCTAGATTTCTATTCCCGGGGGAGCATGCCCCCGGATCCGCCACGAAAGGTCGCGTCTTCGGCACGACCCCGTGCGATTTGTTTACATTCACATGAAATCTTCGCCCCAACAGTCAAAAAAAAAGCTGCCACCGCCTCTGTAGGTGGCGAGTAACTAATGCTAGATATGCGCATATGGTGACACTGCAGTAGAGTCGCGGTGAATATTGTTATAGCAACTATGCCAGAAAGAGAACATTTCTAAACACGAGAGTGTTTGCCTTGTCAAAACAGACATGTTGTTCTGGACAACAAGACTGAACTTGAGCCATTGTTGACTTTATACTGAACGATACAGCCCCAATTACCAAGCTTCACATATATGTGTGACGGTAACGAAGACACTTTCTGGCACGCTCTAACAATTTAGTATCCTATACCATTTCATCCACCGCATACCTAACATATGTGATGGGGACGTTTCTTTTTCATTATTGATACGGGACACCACGCACTTTCCAACTCCGATACAGTCGCATGGTCACTTCCACATTTGCATAATTTATCCGTTTGCACAGCGTCACTCCCGCCGGAGATTGAGATGCCAAATTTTAAAATCACAAACATCGTTAGCAAAATGGGCATTTCTTTCAGGGATTTAGAAAAAAATGTCAAAGATTGAATAAAATGTGCCATGCTAAACAAATGATTGATTAGATTAAAATAAACACTTTTTCTGTGTTGTCGTGCAAAGTTTAATGAAATGTGTGAAAACATGGAAAAGAAAGCTTTGCTTTATTGGGCCACGCAAGTTACGTTGATTATTCAAAAACACAGCGGTCGTAGAACACGCCCATTATTTCAGCCACTGAGCATCAAGTCAATGTTTGTGATGGTCGCTGACGTACAGAGAAACTTTTAAACGTGCCCCAATCCAGAAAATGGCTCAAATTTGTGGTTTAAATGTGCAGACAGTATACTTTATTTAGTTTGTGTGATTGTTTTTAAAAATTGAACTATGTATCACTGCCATCACTATGTATCACTGTCACAGCGTCCTCCCTTCTCGCTGTCATCTAATTGGACGTATTGAGATATTTACTGATAATTGAGCGAATAAACACTCTTAACAACTTTTATTGTTTTAGGTGCTTTTCGAAGATGTCTTGGCGGAACCTCTGGGCGCACACAGCCCGGAAGGCATTTGGCGATGTGTTTTTAAGATGTTCATCTGTTCTAAGGACATGTGCTACAAGATACTCAGCTACTTATGTGCAGTGCCCGCCGCGATATGCTGGGGATGCAACTTCGCCTGTGTCAGTTTCAGTCACGTCTACGCGATCACACCATGCCTGAAAGCTTACGTCATGAACATCGGAGCTTGTAAGATGATCTACGGTGCTACAGTGCGCATGTGCTGTGATCCGTGCTATGAAGCGTGTGGTCGCATGCTCAGTGACATAAGGGTCACTCATGTCAACGAGTAGCCATCAACATACAGTGCCCGATACTGGTTAATAGCCGCCTCAAATCTACGATATAGTTTCAAGTCTCACTCAATAGAAACGTGTTATTTCTGAATAAATTACACGATTATATACATATCTACCTCACATCACGTGATAATATTTGAGTACAATTATAGAGACAATATTGATAAGTTTTGTATTAATATTTTTGTAGTACATTTAGCTGACTTTAATTGATTTAGAATATTGTTAACTAAACAGGTAGATTACGTAAACAAATTTGTACGAATTTGTTTAAACAAAATGCGCATGCCCATTTAATAACAAGTACGTATTTGTAATTGAAAATTCATTGCGCATATACAAACATGACACTTTAAGAGCTAATTATTACACGAGGTGCAGCAGCATTGCTTTTACATTTACGCGTACATTCTCCGCCAAATTATCGTATTCCCCTAATATGTGCAATATTTACGATTTATTTGTCAAACGCGTAAAGCTGAATCGAGGCCTGTGTTTATTATACATATACCAATCGCGACCTCACTCTATTTATGAAGGCACAATGTATTTTAATTTTATAACTAATTAATTATCATATTGTTATTCACACTACAAGTATCAATAAAACACAGTTTTCTAATCACTAAAATGGCTTTGTTTTCTAGTACATACTTGAAAAGATATTTTGGTCAAAATTTCTCAACTGACCAAACTCTCACATTTTTGTCGATTGTAACTTTTCGGTTTCAAGAATACAAAGGATCGTATCGTTTGGCGCCCAAAAGATGTTCTGTGATATATTATGTAGTATAAATAAGTCTGCTTTCATCTGGCTTTTATTATTTGCTTCGACTTACAACTGCGAGATTCGATAAGCCAACACCTTAGGTCATATATACAAATGCATCTACCAACTTTGCAATCGCGTTGCACAAATTTATCCGCCGTCTTAACAGAACAAAGCCACTATGTGCCAACAGCATCAACAATCTGTTCTTTGAAATTTAAAGCGAATTTGAAAACTTTCCATGAACCTAAAAAATAATACAATAATTTTCACGACATTTTACAATAAATGATTGACACCACAGTTCGAAAGGATACAAGAAAGTTGCCTCATATCTTTGTGTGTGATGAATCCCCTAAAACAATCCACCAAATTCTGCTCAGGGCGTCTCCCATGTAAGTACTAACCACGCCCTATTGAGCTTTAATTTAGACATCGGTCGAGCACCTCTAACCACGCTTCTGTATAAATAATTTAAAATTTTCCCAAATTGGCGGCCATTTCATGTTTGGAAATGTTTCAAAATTGATATAGTCTGCACTCATAACTTCTTGAATTGACCTATAACCTGTACATGCTTCGAGACACAGTACGATAACTCAACGGAAATTTACAAAATATTCATTCGCGGTGTGTTAATAGCTTAAAATCCACTACGTGCCGACAGCATCAACAACTTGTTCTAACAAATTAGAAAGAATTTGAAAATTTTACGTTAATTAAAAAAAATACAAAAGTTCCACGGTTTTTCACTATAAGTTACTGACATCACAGTAAGAAAGAACGAAGGAACGTTTCCTTATATCTTTACCATGTGTGTGATGAAAGAAAAGAAAAAAATACAACAGCGTGTATACTCAGGGAGTCGCCCATGCAAGCAACCACGCCCGATTGTGCTTTACTTTAGGCATTGTTCAGTCACCTGAACACACAGCTGCTTTGATTATTCGAAATTGAGTAGAAATGGCGGCTCTTTCATGTTTTTTAATGTTTTAAAATCGACATCGCTTGCATAAGTACCTTCTATAATTGACCTATGACCTCTACATACTTTTAGTAACACCATGGTGATTTAACAGCAATTAACGAAATATTTATTCACATTTTTGAACTTTTAACTATGCGATTTTTTAATATGATATCACAAGTAACAATCCCGAATGAAACTACCAACTTTGCAATCGCTTTTCTCGACTTTGTAAGCAGTTTGTCGTCGATTTTTCGTCTGGCTGTTGTGATAACCTGCTTATATATGAGGCATTCTCCACATTTACTTAATGTTATCGAAATTTAACTGCGGGGTTGTCATGACAATGACTTTGGCTAAATACACAAGCAACTCTGCCAAAATTTCAATCGGTTTTTCGTACTTTGCATACTGTTTTCTGACATTTTACAGTCAGCTCATGGGAACATCTATAGGCTGCTTTCAACTGGCTTTGACTAAATTTTTCGACTTTACAACCGCGCGTTACTATATGCCAACAACTTAGGTCATATATACAAATACATCTACCAACGTTTCACGGTTTTTCACTATAAATGACTGTCATCATAGTAAGAAAGAACGAAGGAACGTTTCCTTATATCTTTACCATGTGTGTGATGACACAAAAGAAAAAATACAACAGCGTGTATACTCAAGCAGTCTCCCATGCAAGTACTAACCACGCCCGATTGTGCTTTACTTTAGCCATTGTTCAGTCACCTAAACACACAGCTGCATGGATTATTTGAAATTGAGTCGAAATGGCGGCTATTTCATGTTTTTGAATGTTTTAAAATCGACATCGCTTGCATAAGTACCTTCTATAATTGACCTATGACCTCTACCTTCTTTGAGTAACACTACGGTAATTTAACAGCAACTTACGAAATATTTATTCATATTTTCGAACTTTTAATTATGGGACTTTTTAACATGATATCACAGGTAACAATTCAGAATGAAACTACCAACTGTGCAATCGCTTTTCGAAACTTTGTAAGCAGTTTGTCGTAAATTTTTCGGTTGACTGTTTTGATAACCTGCTTATATATGAGGCTTTCCCGAGAAATTTACTTAATGTTCTCGAAATTTAACTGCGGGTTTGTCATGACAATGACTTATACAAGCATGCAAGCAGCTCCGCCAACACTTAAATCGTATTTTCCAACTTTGCACGCTGTTTTCTAACATTTTACAGACAGCTCAAGTGAACATCTAAAGGTTGCTTTCAACTGGCTGTTATTAAATTTGTCGACTTTATAACTGCGCGTTACTATATGCCAACAATTTAGATCATATATACAAATACATCTACCAACTTTACAATCACTTTGCACAACTTTGAACAATTTTGCACGGTGTGTTAATAGCTTAACGCCCACTACGTGCCGACAGCATCAAGAACTTGTTATTAAAAATTATAAAGAATTTGAAAATTTTCAGTAATTAAAAAAAAAAATCAAAAGTTCCACGGTTTTTCACTTTAAATGATTGACATCACAGTAAGAAAGAATGCAGGAACGTTGCCTTAAATCTTGTCCATATGTGTGATAAAACAACAGAAACAAATCCCATGCAAGTACTAACCTCGCCCGATTGTGCTTTATTCTAGCCATTGTTCAGACAACTAACCACACAGCTGCATGGATTATTTGAAATTGAGTCGAAATGGCGACTATTTCATGTTTTTACATGTTTTAAAATCGCTTGTACAGTTACTTTCTAGAATTGACCTACGACCTCTACATACTTTGAGTAATACTACTGTAATTTAACATCATTTTTTTCTATTTTACAACTGCGGGGTTCGATAATACAACAACTTTGCAATCACTATGACAACTTTGCCTATATGTGTACGGCGTGTTAACAGTTTAAAGCCACTATGTATTAACAGCATTAACAATGTTTTTTGCAAATTAGAGAGTATTTGAAAACTTTACATGAAGTTAAAAAATTACAATAATTTCCACGCCTTTCTCCAAGAAATGTGTGACATCACAATAAGAAAGTTACACGAAAGTTGCCTGATATTTTTTGCATGTATGTGATGAAACTTACAAACAAAATCACCACCTGAAAACGCCCCACTGAAAACGCCCTCAAATCTGTGCACGCTGTTTTTCAACATTAACGGTCAGCTCATGTAACAATCTGCTAATATAGGCTGCTTTCATCTTGACTTTATTCATTTTTTCGACTTTACAACTGCGGGGTTCGATAAGCCAACAACTTGCATGTTGCTTGTTTTGTTTGGTAGCGTGACTAAGTGGTTTTCTTTTCAAAACCGGAAATGGAAAGTTCGAAAAAGCGATGAAAAGCCTGGTAATCAACATTCGAAAAGACGGATTATCGTTCGAAGCATGTAGAGGTCAAATCCGAAACGTACAAGCGTTATTAATAACAGTTTGAAAATTGTCCAAACATTAAATTGTCGCCAATTGGATTCAATTTCAGCAGACCTGTATAGCAGAATGGTCATGGTGTGATCGGCAAGTTGTAATTGTTAACCTTCATCAAGCGTGTAATTAATTGGATGGAGAGCCACCGCTGGAGTCTCCATTCTTTGTCCATTTTTATTTCACTAGATACCAGCCGGTACCTCTCACGCTGCGTATGGACATACATAAAGTCAGGGAGCAATCGATTATAGTTTCTGGGTTTCTTTTGTTCGGATTGCTATATTGCTATAAATTGTTGAGACCAGTTAAAAACTTGCATTCAACATAAATTTATCAACAAAAACATGGTGGCCATCCAACGACGCGTTACGCGTCGACTCATGTAAGATTGGTAATTTTTATTATTTTAGCCAGTAATTATTGGACTGACGATACATATTACCTTTCTAGATAATATACACATATATTTAAAGGAATACGTCAGTTGTCCCGCGGAAACCGCTACCGCGACAGAAAACAGATCTTTTGCTTGCACCGAAGATAGGAACAGTACACGGTCCGATAGATATATGTTCCATCCGAAAATAAACCATTGCTATCAAGTAGGCAGAAATGCACTCTTAACGCACAATCCTGCCTGATGATAGGCGGCCACGCTAACTATAGTATTTAAAACAAAAGTGATACCAGTAGTTGGTTTGTCAACCTTCAATTACCACAGACCATGATAAAGTAAGTCTAAAGTAAGAATATATAAAGTATAAACACATATAATCCTAAATAACATATGGCTGTATTCTGATTTGCCTAGTTTTAATATTACATTTTAACCTCGTTATAACAAACTATTTTTGGTGGCATACAATTTATAGTGAAGTGATAAATATTGTCTGCTCCCATAATGGAACGTGGTTGCCTTCACGTAACAAAGCATCTGCTACCACCTGATTATATAAGGGAATTTATTTTATAGGTGTTCATTATAACACGGTCACAGTGTATCACTGTGTATCATCACATGATAGCCAAGCGATAAAATGTACTTTCAGTTGTAGTGTTTGAAAAAGAGGCATGATTCTGTAGTCAACTATGTTTACTCTAGGCTCTGTGGGGGAGTTCATGGAGATGTTTGTTTTACTCAATCAACCATGATTTTATTGTTGTGCAGGTCGAGGGCGTTCAGAAAAACGTGAGTGATCGATCTGAAAATGTCTAACTTTTTCTACGGAAGGGCCGGCAAATTACCTATTTTTGGCAATATCTCGGCTTTTGAGGCTCATGTGGAAGTGATTCGGGTCTCAGGTCAAAGGACCCCGGAAATACCACTGTTGTAACCCATCGTACAGTGGGGGTGAAGCTAGGGGAGGGCAGCCATCTTGAATTTCAAAATGGCCACTATGAAATTGATATATTTTCCTATAATTCAGCTAGCTATTCCTGATATATATGTATAAACCACACA